TATCAATGAGTCAATTACAAAGACTGATAAACACAAAGCAGTATTTAAAAGAAGTTTCTCAGTGATTCGATAATTAACTTTGTTTAAAGTATAGAGCAGGCATTTGTGAGGCTACTAATCGTTATATTAACCATAAACAAAATGGTCAGTCAACAATTTTGTGGGACAACGCCCGTTAGTCAGAGAAAAAGAAATAAAAATTTGGGTGCTGGAGATAGCGCTCTCTCTTCTCCTTTATTATTATTTAAGGAACTATTTACAAGTTTTATTTTAAAATGTAATTTATAGTAATATTAATAATATGCATCTTAATTACATTGATAAGACCATTTATTTATTTATTATAATTTAATAGAATTGTAGGGGCTATCATTAAGAAGAAATATGAAAAATGTACNTTTTAAAATTCGATTATCTCGAAAACCGTTAAGTTTAGAGGTTGTTAACAAGTATACATTTTTGTTCCTACAATGTCGTGACTTTAATATTTTTTTCCCAAAAGAGCGCTACCTGGATGGGCAAAAAGTTTAGCGTACATTTATGCCACATGTGGCTTATGTGGCGCCCTCTAATAGATACATTACATTAGATACCAAATTATGATTTCTCATAGCGAAAAACCCCCAGTTAAAAAATTTTTTGTATTAATGTCCAAAAACGTTCAAGTTATTGCGAAAAATAAATTTTGAAATTTCACCTTTAACACCCTGTATCTTTCTTATTATTAATATTTTATTAAGGCAAGTTGGCTCAAATCGTAATATTTTAAAGTCACAAATCTACCATACTTCTACAGGGTAGGAAAGTACCGATGGCCTATCAGAAGTTACGTGAGAGCGATAAAGTAAGCCATAGAAATCTATGCGATAGAGAAGGATGGCTATAATGAAGGCCTCTCATAGTCACCGCCCATTTCGCCCTTCCACAAATAAGATCCACTTCTTATTTGTGGAAGGGAAAAATGGGCGTTGACTATTAGACGCCTTCATTATAGCCATCCTTGTCTATCGCATGGATTTCTATGGCTTACTTTATCGCTCTCACGTAACTTCTGATAGGCCATCGGTACTTTCCTACCCTGTATGTACAATTACTTAAGGACCACCCTGTACATCCCCAGAATAATCCAAGTATATTCGATTTAGAACATTTGATTATTCCTAGAATCAGTTTTAAATATATTTATACTTTTGAGAATATTCATAGAATCATCATATTGGAATATAACAAGAGTTAAATTTTTAATTTCTTCAGTCTTTATTCAAATTTAAAATTAATAAAAACCTACTAACAAAAACTACGGAATTGTACCTATAATCTAGTGAAGTTTGGCTATTCTATTTTTGTAGTATATATACAGTGTAGGAAAGTACCCATGATCTATCAGAAGTTATGTGAGAGCGATAAAGTAAGCCATAGAAATCCATGTTATAGACAAGGATGGCTATAATGAAGGCGTCTAATAGTCAACGCCCATTTCGCCCTTCCACAAATAAGAAGTGGATCTTATTTGTGGAAGGGCGAAA